CTAATACTTTTAGATCCAGCCAATCATGTTAAGAAATCATTGAGCGCTCACTCAACAGTTGCGTCTGCTGAACGCGGCCAATGGTCGCGTTCAGCAGACACAACTGTTGAGTGAGCGCTCAATGATTTCTTAATGGCCGCGTTCAGCAGACACAACTGTTGAGTGAGCGCTCAGTATGATTGGTTAACACTTTTAGATCCTTAATATGATTGGCTGGATCTAAAAGTATTAACCAATCATACTGAGCGCTCACTCAACAGTTGTGTCTGCTGAACGCAGCCATTATGATTGGCTGGATCTAAAAGTATTAACCAATCATACTGAGCGCTCACTCAACAGTTGTGTCTGCTGAACGCGGCCAATATGATTGGCTGGATCTAAAAGTATTAACCAATCGTACTGAGCCGCTCACTCGACAGTTGTGTCTGCTGAACGCGGCCATTGTTGGAAAGCACCCACTTTTGCACGAGTGCATAAGCATATGCATTGGTCTACAAGCAAATGCATAAGGAAATGGGCCATCGCACACAAAATTGCATAGTTGCATATGAATCGCACAAGACCGTCTGGACCAATGAGCGCGTTATGTAAATCAATATGGCCACTCAATGTTCGATGTTCATTGGTTCAAACGGTTTTCATGCTATGCATATGCAGCTATGCAATTTTGTGTGCGATGGCCCAATGGACCAATCAAATTCGTTATGCATATGCTTATGCACTCTCGTGCAAAAGTGCTCCCCGCTTGTGCCATTACAACTCGGCGGGGGGGGGGGGGGGCAGTCGGGGGCATTCGCTTCGACCTCTCCAAAGCGGCGTTGCTCCGTGGCGCGGCATCTCTCCGCGTCGCCCCCGCGTCGAGAGCGGCGATCGAAGCCTTTTTGTTTTCGCGCAAGAGCTGGACATGTCAAAGATGACGACGGCGGTAGTGGTGGTGGTGGTGGTGGTGGTGGCATCGTCCTCCTCGGTCTGACGTACGGTCGGCGGCCGAGCGTGAATCGCGCGGATCGAATATACGAGGCGGCGAGCCGCGTATACGTGCGAGGTGCCTCAGCGGCGAATCGCCGACCGTTGATATGAGCCGCTCGAACAGCCACAGCATGGTATCTCGGAGGTGAGGGACACCAGAGCGGAGAGAGGACTCGGGCCGGAGAGCCCGCGGCATCCCCGCGTAGGAGCGGCCGCCTCCGTCCCGAGGACGCGGACGCTGACGCGCGCGATCTTGAGACGCGACGAGCGAAGGATGCGCCGGGCGCGAGCGAGAGAACGCACTGAGGGATCCGCGCGATCGTCGCCACCCGGCGACGCACGGGGTGCGGCGTTTGTGCACGTATTACCATTTTTGGTATGACGCTCTCCTCGCTCCTGCCGCGCCGACTGGTCCTGCGAACGACCACCGCACGACGTTACTCCGGCGCGTTTGGTCATTAATCCGTAATCGCCGCCGTTGTTGATCGGCGGCCGAGGCTTGCGGCGCGTTGCCGAGAAAACCGACGCTCTCAGATGCGGAGGAGAAAATGTTGACCGAGCGGTGTAGCTATCGACAAGCGTGTCACTCGCGGTGGATTATTGTGCGATCGATCGCATCGAGTTGTACGAGTGATACTAATGCAGATAACGTTCCGCTTTTGCAGGTGGTTTCACCCAAATATCACGGGTTTAGAGGCGGAACGTCTGTTGATGGAACGTGGAGTCGACAGCTCGTTTCTGGCACGACCGAGCTCCTCGAATCCCGGCGACTTCACGCTGTCCGTCAGGTGATTACGGAATTTGCGCGTACCGAATGTTAAAAGCCACATTTTGGACGCCTCTCTCTGCTTTTGCCCTCAGGCGGAACGGCGAGGTGACGCACATTAAAATAAAAAACGCAGGGGACTTCTACGATCTTTATGGCGGTGAGAAGTTCGCCACGCTCTCCGAACTGGTGCAGTTTTACATGGAGAACGGTGGGCAGTTGCGCGAGAAGAACGGCGAAATTATCGAGCTTAGGTTTCCCCTCAATTGCGCCGACCCCACGACCGAGAGGTACGAGTCGTCACTCTGCGACGGGACATTTTTACAGGGTTTGGAAAGTCACTTCACAAAAATGTCCAAGTTACAGTTACAAGCTACCAATTCGGAAAAGTAACGGATCGTTGCTTTGCAGTCGCTTGCATCAAAAGTAGGAGTATCAAAGCCGCGTTCGAATTATAAAGCGTAGGTAAAGGCGTTTATGCGCAAATGCAAGGACTAATGCGATCTGTGGAGGTTTAAAAAATATGTAAACTATTAGATTAGTTATTAGTTGTCGAAAAAGTATAACTGAGTTAAGTTACAGACGGGGAGAAAGTAACAGAGTGAAGTTAGAGTTGCCGAAAAAAGTAACTGTAACTTTGTTACAAGCAACGAGTAACTTCCCAACTCCTGCAGTCTTATATAATATTTATCCTTTCGAGGCACCTGGTACAACCGTTGTATGTCAATGCTGCTTTAAATATGTCGTATAGCGTGTAGTAATAAAATGTAAACTGAAGGTGGTTCCACGGGCATTTGTCGGCAAAGGAAGCGGAGCGCTTGATGCTGGAACGTGGGAAAAATGGATCTTTCTTGGTGCGCGAGTCTCAGAGTAAACCCGGCGATTTTGTGCTGTCGGTGCGCACCGATGATCGCGTTACGCACGTTATGATACGATCTCAGGTTGGTCTAATTGATAATAGAACGATATTTCTATATGCAGAGTGTCTGATATACAATTGAAATAAATTTACAAGACGTGGACAGTAACAAGTATACGATTGTTGATAACAAAATGAAGTAATTCTTCGTGGAAAAATAATGGAGAACGAAGCATTTTCGTACTACCTTATTTTTCTAAACGAACTTTGCTTTTGGATATTGGAGAGTGAATATGTTTTTCAAAATTAAGTGAATTACAACGATCTTGTATAAAAATATGATATGCACGAAAGAATACATATTTTATTGAAAAGATAAAAGTAATGCTGAGTTTTTATACATAACTTCTTTACAAATTATTAGTAAAATTCGTTCAAATGTGATAAACACAAATTTGACGGAATAAAGAACTAAGAGCCGTGACAGGGTGTTAGTGTCTAAACTTCTTTACTAACTTACCTTGTATACTTATTTATTTATTGTCAACAAGAACAATAAACAATTAAGAACGCATGTGTACGTTATTAAAGAAGTCATATATATAAAAACCCAGCATTACTTTTATCTTTTCAATAAAACATATATAAGATCGTTGTAATAGTAGTCTATAATAAACCATAGTGATAAATAGAGGTGTATCTTCGGGGAGATAGACACTAACAATAAGACGCCACTTATTAATTTTTCGCCGAGAAAAATAACAGGCTAGGACTAGACCAGGATTCGAACCTGGGACCTCGTGAGCTATCCAGGCTCACACTTGTTAACTTGAATAATGTACGATATAAGATTGAAGCTTATTTAATCTTAAAAGGCACAAATATATAACAAATTGTGTTCCCCTATTTATTTTAAAATGGGTATAGCAAAAAATTTTGGATTTACTTTTTTTTAATGCAAAGTTATTACTCTTTTAGTTATGATTGCAATAATTATTTGGTTATATTACAATGCAAGTCAGATAAATGAAACTAATTAATGTTGCAGGATAACAAATACGACGTGGGTGGTGGTCACAAGTTTGACAGTCTCAGTGATTTAATAGAACATTATAAACGCAATCCTATGGTTGAAACCAGCGGGAGTGTTGTCCATCTTCGGTAAGGACTTATATTCCGCGTTGCTCTTATAAAGTATGTTTACACATTAAGTAATATACATTTGTAAAAAATGGTATTAAACAATTCGCTTGAAGTTGATAATACTTTAATAAATCCCATAATACCTTTCAAGTTTTGCAGTGAAATGCCCACTTGATAGATACTATTAATTGTTTACAGGCAACCGTTCAATGCAACGCGTATTAATGCTAGTAGTATCGAAAGCAGAGTTAGACAATTACACAAAGAAAACGGTTGTTCCAATGGTTGGCTGTGTTGGAACGGCACCAACGGAGGCAGCGAGGATGGAGCGGGTCGTGGCAAGGGAAAGGCTGGCTTTTGGGAAGAATTCGAGTCGCTGCAACAACAGGAGTGCCGGCATATGTTCTCAAGAAAAGAAGGTCTACGCCCAGAAAATCGTGCCAAGAATCGTTATAAAAACATTTTGCCATTCGACCATACCAGGGTACGACTAAAGAACGTGGACTCTGATACTCCTGGAGCTGATTATATTAACGCTAACTACATAAGGGTAACATTCTTTTTATTGATATCTGATACATTTAGTGTCTCGGAAAGTTTTCTTAAGTATTATTAAAAAGTTTTCTCGGCAAAGTTGTGTAGAATAATTTATAATTTATTGCAACTTTTCACATGGAATATCTATTCAAGAGATACAAGCAACAAAGGTTAAAGGTTAATTAAAAGTCCTATTGGCTATCTCTCTTCTTAAAGCTCAATTTGCTTATCTTCGATCGTCAGTTACTCGGAAACTGTAATTGCTATTTTTATTATAAAGTCGATTCTAAAAAAATTAAGTCTGACAGAAGATTCAGTAGTCTTTAAATATCTTTTATGGTGTCATTTGTATAAATTGTACAATAAAATCGTTTTGCAGAACAAAGAAGGCGATGAAACAAACACTAATGTGGACAGTGGTGGTGATGATTCGTCATTTGGCAAGTGTTACATAGCCACGCAAGGTTGCCTTCCAAATACCATCGAAGATTTCTGGCACATGGTCTACCAGGAGAATACTCGTGTGATCGTTATGACTACCAAGGAGATAGAAAGGGGAAAGGTACGTGAACTCCAAACGTTCTCACAAGTAGAAAGCTAAAGTTTTGACACGTTATTTTCTTCTTTTCTAGAATAAATGCGCGCGTTATTGGCCGGAAGAAGGAGAAACGTCTGAGTTTGGCGAGTGGAAAGTGCGTGCTGTAGCTCGAACTTCGACCGCTGATTATACTCTGCGCGAGTTTCTTTTGCAGGGAACCAAACCGGAGTTCTCAGAGTCCAGAAGAATTTATCATTACCACTTTCAAGTAAAGTATCTATTACATATTTCTTAAACATTGAATTGTACTTTTAGTTATTTATTCAAGTAATATGTTATTCTTTATTTAATTATCTATTTTTAAAGAATTTTATATAGCGTATTGTATTAATAAAAGTTAGTTAAATGCAACTAATATCCTATCTAATGAAATGTATGTAATGAGAGTACAACTAAATTTCTACATTTAATTCGTAGGCATGGCCCGATCATGGCGTTCCATCGGATCCTGGTTGCGTGCTGAACTTTTTGCACGACGTAAACGCTAGACAAGAATCGATCGCGGCGTCTCTGGCTCCAAAGGATCAGGACGAACCATGCATAGGCCCAATCCTCGTCCACTGTAGTGCTGGAATTGGCAGGACCGGCACGTTTATCGTTATTGACATGATTTTAGATCAAATTAAGCGTCATGGTAAATATAGAGACGATTGATAAACGATTAAGCATTTGTATAATAGAAGTTGCTGCATATATTTAGTATATAGTAATGTTAGTTGTACAAATTTATCTTTTACGATTTATGAAATGATATATTTATTAATTTACTTTTACCTTACTCTAGTGTACATTAATCATATATTACTTGATGTTTTTAATGTCAGGACTGGACTGTGAAATTGACATTCAACGTACAGTACAGCGAGTACGCGCGCGAAGATCAGGAATGGTCCAGACGGAGGCGCAATATAAATTTGTCTATCTTGCTGTTTTACATTACATTGAGACTGTGTCTCAACGGATGCAGGCGGAACAGGTACTAAAGTTTAATATCACTTGATAATGTAACAAACAACTGATTTATTCTCGTATTAATTGATTCGTTTCTTTACAGAAATCACTTCAGTTAGGCAGAGAATACACCAACATTCGTTACAAAAGCGAAACGAACGCTTCTACTAACGCTATTGTCGGCGAAACCTCCACTCCCGCTTGTACGCCAATAATCCCTCCAACATCAGCACCCACTCATCACAGTTTGAGGCCAAAGTAACTTTTCTTAGGCACAATCGATTTCGCGTACATTCGAGAAAGCAAAGAAGAGGCTTCGTTATTCTTTTGCTCTCTCTCTTTTTCTCTTTCTATTCTCTATTTCTCTGTTACTGTAGGTAATATTATAAGAAGAACAATACGACATACCCTGAGATTCGCAGACGTTCATTCGCCATCAAGAATTTAGTTTCGTCTCTCTCTCTCTCTCTCTTGTTAAATAATTCTTTTTATCGATTGTATACTGACGGTTTATTTTTTAAATAATTAAATTGTGAATATTCAAATATATACGGAAATACAAACACACATACATATACATACACATATATATACAATATATATATATATATATATATAGGAGAAAGAAAAAAGAGCTGTATAATTTATCAATCCATAGTCTGTTATTTTTATGAAAAATGAATACTACAAATATACTAAATATTTACTGGCATATCTTTCATTTCCTCTTTATACATCTGTTCAATGCGATGTATAAAGTTTTGACAAGACAATAACAAAAAATGATATTGAAGATTCGATCTAACGGAAATTGAAACTCTTTAATGGAGATATAAATTTCTTTAGCGAGAATTTGAAGCCCTATTTTTTTAGTTAAAATTCAAAGCTAAGAAAAATCCGCGAACTATATTTTGAATCTGGGTCAGTAAACGCTCAGATTCTCTTAATAAAAATATGAATCAGGGTTGTGTCATAGATTTCAAGATTACGCCTACAGAGATATTTTATGTGTCGTCTGTGTGATATTCGAGCAGATTTTTTTATGTAGCCAATGTGAACAATGTAAACTATTACAAACTACGAGAAAGAGTAGTTGAAATATATATAAAGTGGTTAATATATCTGCTTTTGATATTAATTATAAAGACGATTAATGTTATAAATTCGAAGTTTACAATAAATAATGATATTGCATATGTATTAGATTCTAAATATATAGATATTCAAAACATAAGTATTTTGCCTTTCCTATCTTATAAGTCAATCGTAATCAAGTTGATTTTATTTTTGGATCGTTTAATTAAACGATACATTTACTTCTACATATATTAAGAATCTATTTTGTGCAAAATATATTTTAGGTACAATAATAATATAATAATAATAATATCGTGGCAAATAAAAAGATTCAAGTTATTTTAATCAGTCTTGTCTATGTAGCCTGGATCTTCATCATTCACAAAAAAGCTAAGAAAAAAGAAATGCCGGCATGTTAAAGAAGAGATTCAAATTTTTATCAAACTTGTCTATTTTAAATTAGTTATAAAAAATAGAAACACTAATAATATTTTTATAAATCTCGCCAGGGCAATGAGAGATATACATAAAATATGTGTATATATATAAAATTTGAAGTTAATCGGTTTATTAATTTCTAAAATATAACTATTGAGGACAAACATCGATACATTGCACTTTACATTTAAATGTTAATTATTTTTATATGAAACGCGTAGTAATAAGATAGTAACAAATATACAAAACAATAAAATTTTACATTTTTATTTATGAAAAAAGATCCCAAAGATTTTCTATTTTTCAAGTATATTTTGAGAGAATATTTAAAGAAACTTCTTTGAGAAACACGTATATTACATGCATACGACGAAAGTATTGACGCAGATGGAACATATTGTAAATAATATAAAAGTTTTAATCACCAAATATAACAAGGAAAGTCGACTTTGAGTATATTTTTAATTTTTATTGATTATAAATTAAGTATTTTTTAACATTAACTTACGTATAACTAGCCATGTATAACTCTCAAAGCTCACTTTCCTTGTTCTTCATTGATTTTAGTATCGAGAGTCTCTAGTTAATTGAATCAGGTATCTAAAACTTTTAACTACTGAAATACACACACGAATATATTTGTACTCCAATACTTGTCGCTCCAAAAAGCTTCCAAAATTTCAATACCTTTAAAGACATTTAAAGTCTTAACAATTCCAATTATAAATACCTTGTCTTAAAATTTTTAACAAAATAGTTACAGGAAAGCATGGTTACATAAAAAACAAAAATGGTAACTTTTCGAGAAACACATCATGTTTTCTACAGTATTGTGCAGGTTTTGCAGATTCTTTTGCAATTAATAATATGAAATGGGTAATTTTAATAGAATTTAAGTGTATAATAGAATTTTTCAATATAATCTTAAATCTCTCGCACACGCGACCAGAATTAAAAGAATGAAAAAGACCGTATCTTCTAATCTGGATAATTCAATGGTCGCATGTGCGCATCGCGAAAGAGGTAGATAGCTTATACTGTCCTTTGGAGAACTGTGCTTCGGATGTTTCGTCTCCTTCAATTTCTTCCTCGTATACTTAAAGCTTTATTTATCTAAAGTCCATTACGTTTTTGCTTTCTTCTCAAGTATAAAAATGTGTGAAACAAATTTCAGCAACGATGTTGCGAATGTGTGCTATTTTTAACGTGAGCAACATGAGGGATCACAGCTTCGTTTACTTTACTTATTGAAAAAATAAGCACGAATCATAAGAAGAACTGTAATTAGCCATAATGGTAAAGTCAGCAACTATTAAGGGAATAATAATACGCTTGGTATTCCTATTTCACGGTTACGTCATTACATGGCACTGGCCAAGTTATAGCGTCGGCTTTATAATTCCGATTAATCTGTTCGGATATCCCTGGAACTTGAGCTTTGCTACTAACTTGTTGCTGTTCTTCGAGGGTATTTACACCTACAAAATAAAGAAAAGTCAAGCATGGAAATGGTATGTATGTCAACTATTGCAAATATTGTTCTGCTCTCAAGAAAACATATTTTTAATTAAAAATGATGAAATTAAGAAAGATTCAATTTCTATGACTTTTCAAAAAAATATAAAAGGGCGAGTCGAGATTTCGATTTTCTAACTACAATAATTATATTGTATTTGTAAGTGTAAATACATACAGGGAACTAAAAATGAAAAATATAATTTATTAAATTATAATTTTAAATAAATTTTATAACAAAATTTACAAAGTATTAAAATCAAATAGTTATTCATAATTTACAATTATGACTTATTTCTATAGGAATACAAACTTTATACTGGACTTAATATATGGTTTATTCATATTAAAATATATAAAATATACCAAGTCACTATACCTTTATATTCTTATATTTAATTCTCAATCATAAACTATTACAATTGTTAATTAATTCTGAATAGTAGATTTATAGATAAAATACCTATAAACATTTACAACAATTCTATGAATTACAAATGGGATAAGAAGTTTAGACAACAATGATATATTTTAGCAAATATAGCTACATCAAGTAATTTAGATAAAAAATTATAAAATTATAAAATGTAAGTTCTTGAAGTATATTTAATATTATTAGTGTGTGTTTTCAAATTAGTTAAATTAGTTAATTCAAATTTGTTAAATTAGTTAATTTTAAATTAGTTAATTACTATAGTTAACTTACTGAAGTTAAAACACCTTAATTAATTACTTAAATTGCTTTGTAATAATTGTTTTAAAAGAGTACTTTTATTTATTTTAAGATCAGTACTTTGGTTATTTTACTTTAGTTAATTACTAAAGGTACTTTGTAATAATTGTTTTCAAAGATACTATACTTTAGTTAATTATTTTTATTTTTAAAAATATATTACTTCAGTTAATTACTTTACTGAATTTACTTTAGATAATTTATTGTTTAAGTAATTTTATAATAATTGTTTTGAAAGATTTATTAATATCTTATAATAAATGACTGAATGCATGCAAATGTATGCTTTTGCGACTGTAAAAACAAAATATTTAATATTAAGATTATATTACTAACTCCTCTTTTACTGTAATGTCATTACATTACCTTTTTATTTCTAACGGTTATTAATTGTATAGAAAATGTTACTAATATTGCGTTAGGTACAATATTATTATATTACGGCGAAAGACTAGCGTAAAGGGCGTGTATATCGTGAGACCATCTCAGTTTGTGATAGGTACAAATTGAAACATCAACAATTAACACGAGCCGAGTAATCCACTTTGTTTGGGGCGCAAGTAGTCCTACTAAAAATCATTGAAAATCATATTTGTTAAAAAAACCGTGATCTAATCTCGTTTACTTGGCTCGTTGATCAATTGAATTAAATTTAGCCCAGAATGCCTAAGCAGTACATATATATTTGCCTTTGAAAAGCCCTATGTAAAAAACTGTATTATGTACAATAATAACGAAGACAAATGTAAACAATAAATAATAAGGAGATTAACAATATAATAATATATTATAAAAAATAATATAAGATTAAAAAATGTGAAACATAAGAAAGAGGAAATATTGATACCATGGTGTGATATATACATACACAAATATTTTAGTGATTTATTTTTAATCATTAAATCACCTGTAGTAAATGGTAATGCGTAAGAGTTTCTTATTTATTACAATTATTATATTTCTAGGTTTCAGCCGTCTGTAATTTTATATCTTCTTAGCGTGCTGCCTACAATCTGGCACTTAGAAATGACGAAAGTATTCACTATAGAAAATAAAAGCAAAAGCTGTAGAAGGGAAGCAGAACTATGGCAGAACTTGTGTGACTTTTTAAATCCAAATCATCCGTCACTTAATGTGCCGAGCATTCGTGATAATTGCTTTGATGTCGTACGTATTATTTTTAACATTATATGCTGTTTATGAAACTTGATAAAAAAAATATTATTTTTTAATATATGTGTATATACATAATAAACACACGCGCGTAGAAAAACTTGTTCAACTAAATCATTCAATGTTTAGTATAATGTTCCATCTTGTAATTGTATTTTTTCGAACAATACACCGATTTACTTGCAAGATTCAACTTTTTTTCTAAAAGGAATCGTATATTTTATTAAGCATAAGTCAATTTTTCTCATTATTTTCTGTATAAGAGTATAAGAAAAAAATTAGAAAATCGATACTTTGTCGGTTATCACACATTTTATGCCATAAAATTATATTATTACATTAAAGCTCCTAGTCCCTTGCTGCAGTTGTTCTTGTTTAATTTTCTTAGAAGTGAGACATGACACGCTGAGAATTCTTATCATTTTTATTTTCAAATCGAAAGATGGAAAGCATTTCAGATCATTTTGGTATACTCATAAAATTTTTCGAAAATTATTCATTTTCTTCAGCAATAAATAGCCCTGATCAATAGCCATAAAATGAATGTGATACGGAATTTATGCACCTGTGCATAAACCTGC